AAGCAAAGGATACCAACTAGTAAGTGGGAAAGGGAGGCAGACAGCAGACAGGCTGGGAGGAATCCTCCTAGCTAAGCTTGTTCCTGGTAGGCAGGATAGCCAGACCGGGGGCACAAGGAGCGAAGCACATATACAGTGTCAGTTCTCAAGGAAAAAGAGATGAAGTAGGATGTAACCTCCAGGATAGGCCTCTCAGGGCCGGAGACAGACACAGGAACAAAAGTGTAAAAGGAAGAACTGCCAAGAAAAGCAGCAACTGAAATATCAGATGCTTCTCAGAAGAAATACATGAAAAAATATTCACCTTCTCCAGCCACTAGAGAAGTGCAAATTAACATACCACCAAGATTCTACCTAACCACAGAAAGAATGGGTATAATCAAGAGATCAAATAATAAGAAATGCTGGTGAGTCTATTTCCTTCTATTTTATAAACAAAATTCCTGGTCTGAAATATAAATAAGTTGAACCACTATGGAAATGAGTATAGAGATTATTCAGAAATCCAAAAATAATAATTCCTTTTGATCCACTATTCCCCTTTTAGGTATTTTCCTGAAAGAGTTAAACATGTCATATTACAGAGAGTCATTCATACCCATGTTTATAGCAGCACAACTCTAACAGTGAAATCTTGGAATCAGCCTATGTACCCATCAACAGAGGAATGAATAAAGTAACTGTCATTTATACACAATGGAGTACTACTCTGCTATTAATAAGGATAAACTTGAGTCACTTATAGGATAAATAATAGGTATCCCCAGAGGTCATAATGTTAAGTGAAATAAATCAGAGACACAAACTCAAGTATTGCATGGTTTCTTCCATAGGAGAAATCCAAGAGGAAAATAAAAGATGGATGATGGGAAATGTGGAGATAGGTTTTTTACAAAAGGGAAGGGGACCAAGAAGTGGAAAGAGAAGGAGATGAAAAAAGATGTATTATGCACACAGACCAACTTCCCACGAGGAAGAGAACCACTATGTACTACAAACACATATCAATAAAAGTAAAAATTTTTAGAAAAGAAGAAAAGAAGCCAATGTCAAAGAGAAATCTTCAGAGAGATTGTTTAGTCCCTAGTGAGTAGGCCTGGCTAGGGTTAAAGAGGAAGGGCCAGCAGTAGGGGTTTAAACAATGTTTTGAAGAAGGAGAAGTATAAGAGGCATACATAAGATGGGAGGATAGCAGTTTACAAAGAGGAAAATGTTCAGCTTCCCTCTGAAACGTGAAGCTAGGTGAAGCTCTCTACAGGGATCCTCAGGAGGGAGAAGGAGGGAATCACTAGGGTCCATAGACTTCTTTTTGTTTTACTTTTTAAAAAATCTTTTGTTTATTTGATACAGGGATTTGCTATGCAGCTTGGACTCATTGTGATCCTCCTCTCTCAGCCTCCCCAGTGCTGGGATTACAGGTGTGTACCACCACACCCGGTTTCAGTGGTACCAGACATCAAACCCAGATCCTTGCGCTTGGCAGGCAGGTGCTTAGTCTGCTAAACTCTCTCCCTGGCCTGAGTCCAAAGACTTCTTAACCAAAGTGCAGACCTGAGGTTCTGACTGAAGAAGAGAATTTCCCAACAAGGAAGCCACTACCCGAAACCACAAGACCAGAAACACTGCAGGGCAAGTCCTTTCGTTTGTCCTATTCTTCTGCCCTGCTCTTCTGCGTGGCAAGCACCAAGCTCCCGCACTGCTAGTTAACCTGTGACCTCAGGAGAGTCACTTTTTTGTCAAAGAGGTCACCCTCAAGGTCCCTTCGGGTTCTAATGCTTTATGTGACCATAGGAAATAGAAGAAGTATCTCTCAAGATTCAGTTTATAAAAGCAGATGCAAAATAAACCAGATATGAAAATAACAAAACAAGGAATCTGTCTTAATTTTTCCAGGACTCCTCATGTCCCAAATCTCTTATTAGAGTTGCCCAGATAGTCACAAAATAATTTGATCTGATTATCCTAAGTCTTTTCTCCTGAAAGGCAGAGATAAAAATATTTAAAATATAGAAAAGTAGGTAAGGGAAGAGCCCACAGGATTCACACATATGTACCTTGATCCTCACACATGTGGGTACCCAGAGGGCACTAACCTGGCCACAATGGGGGATGGGGAGGTGACTAGATCAAACTTATCCCCTTGGGTCCCTATCCTTGAGAAGTTCATTATCTGGAGGCCCAAATCTGGTGATCTCTTATGGATATTCAAGGAATTTTGTACAAATGAATTCTACAACCTTGCTACTGCTTTCTGTTCTTCTAAGACCCAACATCTCTGGTAGTGGTATGGAGGTTATGCACACAGGATATGCTTGCTTCAAATCCCATCTCAGTCATTTACTTGCTGGCTGGTATCAGTCAGTGGTAGCTATTATAATACCTGCCAGCTCAGCAGTATGCTGTCTACAGAAGTAACCAGCCCTTGGGAGGTGTTTGTCCCTCCCTACTTCTCTACAAATATTAAGCAACCACTCTTTCCCAGGCCTCATCAGGCCCACTCCATTTAAACAGAAGTACTTAAGGAATAACTGCCTTCTTATTGTCACATCCCTCTTCCCTTAGCCATAGAGGAAATATCTGGAACACTCCCTATGCCACAGCCTCCCCTCCGTCCCCATTCACACCCCTGACTACTCTCCCTCCTTCATGATGGATACTAAACCTGAGATGAACAAGCAACATTTGTATAGCACCCTGCACTTTCCAGAGTGCTTTTGCTTATACAGCTTTATTCACTTCGCTATGGAAAGTAGTGTATTTCATCCATAAAAGAACCCATACTTTCCCCCATTTTACAAATATGCAAATAGACAGGTGCACAAACTGCCCATGCTCGCACAGCTGGGAAGCAAGTCACACTCGGACCCCCAACCTGGGCCTCAGGATACCTTTTCTCTGCCTCTCACATTATGTTGTCCATGTTTACAGATGTCACAGGAACATAAGCTGCAAACACCCAAAGGGAACAAAAACTAACTCCCTTCATTTTTGTCCCTGCTGATCCTCATGACTGTCTAAGCTGAAGGACAACCTGCAAAGTGCCAGGCCATGTTGGGTCGGGAACCAAAGAGGACTATGGGCCCCAGTGAGTAGGAGTATTTGTTAGAACAATGACCAGGTCATAGTAAAGACTGCTAGGGAAGTCCAAAGGAGCACCCCAGAAAAGTGCCCAGGGCTTCAGATAAACTGACATTCCTCACCCCAGCATGCCTCCTGGGTCCTCCTCACTCAGCTCCCAGAGAGAAGGAAAATGAACGAGCTACCTTCTGGCCAGGGCTGAGAGCTTGGTCACATTCACCACACACACACACACACGCACACGCACACGCACATGCACATGCACAGCAGAAGTGGGGAGCCATGGTAATCAAATCTTGGGCTCACTCAAAAAGCCAAAGGAGCAGCAGCTGTAGCCTGGGTCCAGGGCTTCAGCTCAGAACTACCATCTCAGGGTCGGGGAGATGGCTCAGTGGAATAAGTGCTTCCCTGGCAAGCACAAGAGCCTGAGTTCGATCCCTGGTTCCGCCAAAAAAACCAACAAAAACCAAAACTACCATCTCCTCAGACACTGGCTGCCTGGCAGAAGCACAAAATGTGCCTCGACTTAATTTTTCCATGGACACAACCCCAGATGGGACCGCCAGGCTCTAGAGGAACTGTGACTCCAAAGATTCATTGCCTCTGTGCTCTGTGATCTGCAGCTGCACTGAGGGAAGGGAAGGGAAGAGCATTTCAGGGTCAGAGTTGTCACCCCTAGGCCATTTTTCTTCCTAATATTCTTCCAAGGACAGTGAGCAATGAAGTTTTCATTCAGAATTGGTCAAGAGCTGGAATTCAGTGAAAATTGCTTACATCTGCTTGGCCATAGCCCAGACAGTCAGGTAGTTTAGAAGAAGAAGGAGGGGAGGTGCTGGCCCACTTCTAGGACCTCTCATAGCTCTGCTAAAGAATCTCTGGTGTCTTGCTAGGACTGGCCAGCCCAGACTACAGAACTCCCCGACCCAGTTGAGAAAAAATAACAAGGCAGGCAGAGACAATAGAGATTCCATCCCAGGCAAGACTGGTGGGACAAGGGCAGGGAAGCTACAAAGACCCCAAAAGAGGGTGCAGATGGGAGGTGAGAAGCTAGCTGACTTGAAGGGGCAAGGGCAATGGCAGATCTCACTTGCACACGTGTGCACACACACACACATACACACACATAAGGGCATGTGCACACACCTCAAAATTTGGTAACCTCTTTCCATAACCCAGGAGCCTGCCAAGCCCCTGGGCTCCCCACCCCACCCCACCCCACCTTGGCTTCCTGCGGTGAGTATGCATACATACATACACACACACACACACACACACACACGCACACACCCCAAAACCACCGCTGTTGGGAACTGTAAAGGAGAGACAAGTACAGGGCAGGGGAGCAACGTTTATAGGCAGGACCAGGGCACTCAGGCCTGAGGGTCCCTCTCCCTCTTTCAGCTTTCAGTCTCCCTTTGCGGCAGTATCCTTATAAGGGAGAAGCCAATTCTACCCTCGGCCTGGCTAAAAAAATAGACACAGAAGCTGACTTTTCACCCAGTGAACCAAAGGCAACCACCCTGCCACCTCCACTCTGAGACAGGTTTTGCCTTTTATTGCTCATCTTAAACAAACAAATAAACAAACCCCCAAGCTATTGGTTGGTTCAGATGGCCCCGCAGCCAGGAGCCAGGAAGTGTGTGTTCAGAGGCAAGGGGTGGAGTGGGGGTGCGGGGCCGAGAGGCCCGGAGTTACAGGCTCGCCCGCCGAAGGGTAGGGTTGAGCAACCTGCTGGCAGCCAGCGGCTGGAGCTCGGTTCGCCCGGCGTCCGCCGCTCAGCCTGTCGCCGGCAGCCGGGACGCTCCATTGTTGCACCCCGGCTGTTGCCATGTTGGAGGGAGAGTCCCTTGACCTCACCGCCGCGGTTGCAGGCCACTCCACAGACTCCTGGGCTGCTGCTCGCGGGTGTGCGCTGGTCCTACCTGGACGGCCGGCGGGCTCCGCTGCAACCCCCGACGTGTCGTGGGTTGGGCGACGTGGGCTCCGGCTCCGAGCCTCCCCGCCGCGCTCTGCGGCTCGAGGCGTCCCTTGCACTCGCGCGATGTGGGGTGGCCCGCCGCGCGCAGTCTCCTCCCGGGCCGCACCCTTCTCCCGCTGGTCTCCGGGTCCGGGGTCCCCGGCGCGGGGCAGGGATGCGAAGGGCGCAAGGACCAGCCCGGAGCTGGGAGTTCTCTCCGCCGAGAGCGTGCGCGAGCTGGCAGTCAGGCAACCCAGGGTGAGACAATAGCAGGAGCAGCGGGCGAGAGGTGAGAAGCCATCTCCCGGACAGCCAGCGCACTGCACGGCGACGCGAGCTCGGCTAGACCCTGCGCGGCCGCCAGCCGCCCGGCCGCCGGCTGCAGCCGCAGCACCGAATCGGCCGCGAGCCGGAGGGCGGGGCGGCGGCGGGAACCCTGGCCGCCCGCTCCCCTCGGCCCTCCCTCTCCTCCCGCCCTCCGCGCCGGGGCGTGGGGGAAGAGAAGCGCGCTGGCTTCGAGTTGTGCCTGCAAAACCCGGCGCAAGATTCCCACTTCCCACTCGGGTGAAGGTTTCTGCAGATGGTCATTACTTTTCCCTGCTGGAGCCTCTTGGCTTTGGGTGAAATGAAGGCAAGTCACTTCATTCTGCTGGAAGTGACGCAGTGTGGTGGCTTGGTGATAGCTTTGAGGAATTTTCCCCATAATTATTCAAGCCATGCCCAAAAGAAGCCCCACCTGGAGAGTGGAGGTGCAGGTGGGGGAGCTGCCCTGAGCTCTGCGTGCTCAGCCTAGTTCTTCCTTTTTCCCAGAAGGGGTCTTCTGCCGGGGCGGGGCCCTCCAACCCAGAGTGAGGGGAAATACTTCCACAAGGTATGTTCTAAATTTTGGCTCTGAGCACCTTTCCTTGAGCGGTGGTCTTAGCATTTCCATAAAGTCTGAACCAACAGTTGGCCACCTCCTCCCTTGTATTGGTTTGGGTAAGAACTATTAGCTCTTCTCACAAGTACCTTTTCCTCAGCTGTGAATTTTGTTCTCCCTGCTGCCTGCCTTCATTCCTTTCTTGCCAGGCATACTGTGAAGAACTACACACCAGGTTCTCAGCCTCTTTCCTCCAAAAACCTTCAAGGGCCCTGGATCTTAAGCCACCTGGCCTCCCTCGCTCTGAGGCCCACAGCTCCTAGGCCAGACTCCCCTGGAAACTGCTGCCCCTTCCCTTGCCTTGCCTCGGAGGAAGTACAAGATTAAGGTACTCAGTGGGCTGGGGAGATGGCTCAGTAGAATAAGTGCTTCCCTGGCAAGTGCAAGGGCCTGAGTTCAATCCCCAGCTAAGAAAAAAAAAATATATATATATATTTTTTTTTATTTTTATTTATTTATTTTATTTTTTGCTATCATTTCACCCAGCTTAGGTTCACTAGAGTTGAAAAAGAAAATCAGTATGTTTTGTTTTGTTTTGTTTTAGAAACAGGATATCCCTATACAGTTCAGGCTGGTTTGAACTAATTTTGTGACCCAGGCTGGCCTCCAACTCACAGTAATCCTTCTGCTTCAGCCTCCTGAATGCTATACCCCACTATACCTGGCTAAGGAAGGCCTTTTTCAAAAAAAGATGTGGGGCCTTTTAAAATGTCCTCATTAAGCCTAGTGCCAGGTTGAAGCAAGAGGATTACCATGAGTTCAAGGCCACCCTGGCTACATAGTGAGTTAAAGACCAACCTGGAATACATACATGGTGAGACCCTGTATAAAAAATAATAACAATAATTTAAAATAAGTTTTTAAAAAAAACTTCCTCATTAATGTGAAATTGTAGAAAACCTAAACAGAATTCTCTAGGAGATAATGACTAAAGTCATTCCAGAGTCTTTAGAATTATGCAAAGAGAGCCCAGGAAAGTTAGCTATCTATTGAGACAGGAATTTGACTAATTGGAGCATAAGACTAATTTTGTCATCAAGGTGGATAAATATGAGTCTATCTTTACAATAGTTCTATTGGTGAAGTATTAATTTTATGAGCTTTATTATGTCAAACAATGAGTACTTACCAAGAGAAAAAATCACAAAAATAATGAGATTTTAATATTTATTGAGTGTTTATAAATTGTTTTTATTTTTGGTGCTAGGAGTTGAACTCAGGACCTTGAACTTGCCAGGCAGGCACTGTCCTGCTTAGCTATCTCCCCAGCTTATTGAGTGTTTATAAAAAGGCATTTCCATGCATGGTGGTACATACCTATAATCCCAGCATGTGGGAGTTCAAGGCCAGTCCAGGTTACATAATGAGTTCAAGGCCACCCTAAGCTATGTATCCAGAATTTGTCTTAAAAAATAAAAATAAGTAAAACACCTATATTTTAAACACTGTTTTTGGAGTACAAATACTAAAAATCATCAGAAATAATTTTTTTAAAAAAAGAATTTTTTTTAAAAAGAAAGGCTGGCCAAATAGCTCATCATATTAAAGCACCTGCTTAGACCTAGCAGCCAGGGTTTAATTCCTGCCATGCTGTGTCCTGCTGGCCCCACCCCCAGGGCACGCCGAGATGGCGATTGAGATTGAGCATGGTGGCCCGCGTCCCTGTAACCCCAGCTCTTTGGGAGGCTGAACACAGGTGGATCACTACAATTCCGATCTACATAGTGAGACCCTGTAGACCTTGTAGATCCTTACTAAAAAATAAAAAATTCTGGGGCCAGGGAGATGGCTCAGTAGAATAAGCGCTTCTTTGGCAAGCGCAAGGGCCTGAGTTCAATCCCCAGTTCCGCAAAATAAATAAATAAGTAAATAAATAAATAATTCCCATATGAACTACAAAGAAAACATTAATAGCAATCTAAAAAAATTATTTCACTTATCACACCTGAGGCAGTCTGCACACATGACAACAGCAACCTCCCTACACACACATCCCTTACACAGGCAGCACATGGCTCTTGCTTTCCTGGCTTTTCTGTAGGACATCCTTGACATCTCAGTGGCCTGGCTGTTTTCCCAGGAGGTTCTTATTATACAGTCTGTAGTGAACAGGAATATAAAATAGCAATAAAATAAGGTATTCCTAATATGTATTGTGGGGGCTGGGAAGATAGCTCAGTGGCATAAGCACCTGTCTGGCAAGTGCAAGGTCCCAAATTCAATCCCCAGTCTTCCACTCTGCTAAAGAAGAATATGTGTGTTCAGCATAGACATTACTTTTTTTTTAAATGCTCCTAAAACCCCTTCCAGTGTGTTCTTCTTTATTCATTTTTAGAGTACAAACTTAAACTTGGATAGGCTGAATTAACCCAACCCACCTCTGGCAGGTACACTCAACATGCTGTATAAAGTATAACATTCAATTTATTATTTCTTTCTCAAGAGAGTTTTCTTCAGTCCATTAAGACCCAGCTCCCCTTCCATGGGCTTTGGTGGAGGTCTTGGGGCAGCACCCATAGGTCTAAATAAGGGTGGAGGAGTTCGGTCCTTACAGGCTTCACGAGATCGATTTCTGACCACTGTGCTGTGAATGGCACAACTCACACAGTAATGCAGCTTCACATACAGCTTGGGAAGCACATAACCGTCGAAGACACTCACTTCAGAAATGTCCCTGATGGCAGCTGCGGCCTCCACTATGTTCCAAATGACGAACTTCTTAACAGCCTTATCCTTGGGTATGCACTGGGCACAGTTTGTGCAGAGAACAGGCTGCACATGACCGTGGTGGCCCTTTTTGGCATGACTGTTGTTCCTTATTTTTTTCGTCATCTTGGAAAGGAGGGACATTACTATTTTTGCATCAGCTGTTTTCTTGCTTACAAAACCCAACAGATAACATCAAAAATAAAAACCTATGTGAACTACAGTGTAAACACAAAAGTCTACCATAGAAATAAACTTTGCTTCATCTGTCACAGCCAAGGCAGTCTTCACACATGACAACTGTATGTGCCATACACAAGTATCACTCACACTGATAGGGCATATGTTTTGCTTTCCTGTACTTTCTTGTAGGGTACACTTGACATCGTATTTGTTTTCCTGTTGTCACAGTAGGTCTTTGGGGTGCTGCACCTGCCTGTTCACCTGTCAGCTCACCAGTGTACTCCACGGTTGTCTACATAGTTCCCTGGGCAGAAACATTTTGTTTTTCCTCTGCTATAAATGATCTCTTAGGAGCTTCAGTCCCCGTCCTCTAAGGCAATTTCTCTGTAATATTTTGTATTTGTTGTTTTCTTTTGTAAACTATCTAAGTATTTATGCCACACATGTTTAGGATCAAGTAAATCACAATGCTTTGTGTTTCAAGTGACATCATAGTTGCTGCATAGCTCATCAAAAATACCGACTCCACCTTCCATCTTTTGCTGGAAGTTTCCATCTCAGGCCTTCCTTTTGTCAACGTTTCCCTACCAATATTTCCATTCTGGTGCAATGTTGACATCCAGCGGTACCAATTTGCTTTTCTTGGCCATATACGAGGTCAATGTTACATCTTTCTAAAATCCAAGGACTATACTATACAGTTCTCTGTTTTGAAACTGCAACATTTTGTTTGTAATTCTGCTTTGTTCCTGCATACAGTCCTTGCCCTGGTCAACTAGTGTTCTGTTCGCAAATGGAACACCAATTGGAAACTGGTATGCTAATTGGCGAATGTCACGTTCTGATTAGTTTGGGAGATGGGAGCAACAAGTCTGTTAACGACATCATTTGGCTTATTACTATATGAATAAGGACCTGATGGCTGAGTTCCAGGATAAAAAATTGAATTGAAAGAAACCAAGCATGGTCACACACACACACATCTGTAATTGGAACACTTGGGAGGCTGAGTCAGGAAGATCACTGGGACAAACTTCTAACGGCTTTATCCTTGGGTATGCACCAGGCACAGTTTGTGCAGAGAATAGGCTGCACATGACCGTCGTGGCCCTTTTTGGCACAACCATTGTTTGTGCTGAAAAAAGAAAAAGTCTGAAAAAAGAAAAAGTTCTCATGTACAAGAGAGTACATCTCTGTGCTATACTTTGACCCATCACTTTTGCACAAGTCTTTTCCATTTCTTTGACCTCCAAAAGAAATCTTTGCTAAATGCAGCAGACCTATGAGTGCTTTCAGTTCAGCACTCATGAGGTGTTGTAATAAATACATTTTTTAATATGGCTACTAATATCTACAGAACATTTTACTATACTTTCAGCCTTTGTGTATTTGACAGCATCTTGTAGCATTTCATCTGTTGGCAATTCCCAACTTTGAAGGGCAGTGCTGGCATTCTGTCTAGCATGTTTCACCCCTGTCAAGACCTTCACTGTATTTTCAGACCTAGCTCTAATATTGGATCATTTGACTGGGTTTGAAATGGCATGGCCATTACACAACATCTCAACTAC